ATATCGGGTTACATGGATCTTATACCATTTTGAGCATGCATTCGTATTAGTGACTCATTTAGTAGTACTTATTTCACTGTTGATTGTTACTTGACATCCTTATATACTGGTTGAGATTCCTAAATCCGTTATTTAAGCATGCTATCTTTCAATATCGTATTTTGAGCAGCGTTATGATTTGTTTTTGTATTAGAAGAGCATGCCTCATATTTCAACTATTAATATATGTGATTCTTGTCATTTGTGACTTTATCTACTGTTCATTTCTTAATTCTCTTATTATATCAGTGTGGTAAGTATCCGGTTGCATCTAGCCTCGTCACTACTTCATCGAGGTCACATTTGATACTTACTTGGTACCGATTGTGGTGTACTCATACTATATTTCTACATATCTTTTTGTGCAGATCCTCAGGTGGATCCTAACAGAGATTCCTGATTGAGCTAGGAGATTTCATGGAGACTTAGGGTGAACTGAACTTTATGGATCTACTTCGGTGTTCCCGATTCCCTGTTCCTTTTATTATTTATATACACAGACTTTCCCTCATTTTTAATTTGCTCGTGTACTTGTGTCACCTAGTCTTGGGGGTTGTACGGTATTGGCCGTGTTTAGGCCGTATTATGACTTTATCAAATATTGTTACTGTTTTGTATTATTATTGTCTTTACTTATACTTTATCATTGTTAATTAAATGAAATGGACTTAGTTTTGTGGATTATGAGTTGGCTTGCTTAGCAAGTTCGGTTGAGTGTCATCACAGCCTTGAGGTAAGATTTTGGATCGTGACAATAGGTCCCAATCATTTATAACAAATATAATAATGAAAAGTGACTATAAATTGAGTATAGTGAATTCGATGAATACCTTAGCATACATGTAAAAAATTATAAAGGCAAGTTTAAATTAGCTTTTAAAAGTTTGTTCAGCTGTTTAAGTGAGTTTTTGACCAATATCATTCCTGTAGTATTACCTTAACATTTTATTTCCTCCTTAGTACATTTTACTTAACTATAAATATTTCATAAGTAATTCAAACTTAACCAACAACGTTCGTCGGTTAACTTTTCAGTTTCTTTCTAACAGAGCCCTCTTAGCTCTCATTAATGTATCAATCAAGGCAATATAAGCAGAAAGAGAGGGTTCAAATAATACAGTAAAATAATGTCAATTACATCAGTATTGGTATCGAAACATTCTGCGAAGCCGATGACCATCACTATGGCGGCGGTCTTTTTATCCTCTAATAATTTTCGTGCTCCTTCGGCTTTCGAGGTTGAAACCCTGGCACATCCCAACACCACCTATTGTTATTGCTCTTCTGCTCCTCCATTAGTTAAGGTTTTCAATAAATAAAATATGTGTAGACCATACAAAACAATAAGTGAAGTAGAATAAATTTATCAAGAAATAAGCAGAAGAGAGTTGAATGCACTCCTTCCCTCTTTCTCTCTTAAGTTTTGGTTTTATTTTGTTTAGGTCTCTATATTTTTCTCCCTCTAACAATTGAATTTGTGATTGTTTGAATTTTCACTCTTTTTTCCTCTACTTTTTCCTCCTCTTTTTTGTCTCTTCTATGCTGGACACAAATATATCAATATATGTTTCAACAGTAGTGATAATTCTTCTATTGACATCAAAATTTAATGATTGTCTTTTCCTGGGAAAAAAATAAAACACTATATATTTATGATTTCAGCAAGAAGCAAAATATTTGAAGATGAAAGGCATGACACATCATATAATCTTTCCAGAAATCTCCTTCCTGAACAGGAGTGTAACCTATTAGAACAATCAATAGACTTGAAACAAGATGATGAAATTGATCCTACGCTAGATTTTGAGAAGGAATATGATAATTGCCGGAGAAAAAGGTGTCATGTTGCTGGGTTAATGTCGTTCTCAAAATCAGTTTTTTTTTTACTTTGTTCTTTGATGAGTTTGGAATTTTTTCCCCTAAACGAAGCATAGAGAAGGCCCCATTACAAATGGATGGAGAAATTAACAAAAGAAACATTTATTAAGTTTGAATAACTTAAAGGATGTTTTCAATTAAGTAAAATACAATAAGGGTGAAACGAGAGTTGAGTTAATACTATAAGGATGATATTGGCTAAAACCCCTTATTTAAGTTAAAGATAAGAGAAACGGAATGGGACGATGAGATATGAACGTATACACATAATGTGTAGATCTTTTAGTGCTAACTCTAGATTATTAGTCTGAGTTAAGGGTGTGTTTGGTAGGAAGAAAAATCTTGAAAATATTTTCACGTAAAATGAATAGTTTTATCACTTATTTTTTCATATGTGGTTGGTGAATGGAAATTTTTTTCCGAAAAATATCTTCTAGTATTTGATTAGTGAGTAGATTACTTTTTTGAGTATATAATTTAGACAAACACTACAGGATGAATGTAAGAGGGTGAGTGGCAAGAGGGGCGGTGGGGGATAGGCGTGGGA